GCTGCCAAGGCGGCGGGGAGCCCCGCGGCGGCCGGGCGGGTCGGTGCCGGGCGGGCGCCGAGGCTCCGGGAAGAATTGCAGTTGCTCCCGCTCGCCCTCCTCTACGCAATCCTACGTGATCGAGGTTTGGATGAGAAAAAAAAAAAAAAAATATCGCGCAGGCAGAAAGAGGCAACTGCAGCTCCACCGCGGCTCTGCCCCTCCACCCGGGCAGCCCCCGGGCCGGCCCGCCGCCCCCGCGGGGAACCGGGCTTCCCCGGAGCCGCAGCCCCGCCCGTCCCCTCCGAAGGAGCCGCCTGCGACTTGCGCAGCCACCTCAGCCATTGCTGGAGGTGCCCGAGCACCCGGCATCAGCAGCCGAGCGTCTCCACGGCTTTCCCGGCTTCTCCGTGCGGAAGCGGAGCCGGGGAGACAGCCCCCGGCACCCCGAGGGCTGCGCTTTCCCTGAAGGGGGGGTCGGTGCCGCATGTGGGGAGCCCACCGGCCGCCCGCAGTGGTGGGCAGCACCAGCGGTCCCAGGGCAGACCGCCAGTTTGTCAGCAGGTGCCCTGCCCGGGGCAACCCACAGGAGCTGGGCTGGCTCCCTCCTATCTCCAGCCGCAAACCTGCGCCCAACAAAATTTAAGATGCAGAAAGATGTCTCTCGTTATCCGGATAAGTGACTGCTGCCGCTGCCGGGAGAACGGTGCTCTCCGTATCTCAGGTTCAAGTTAGGGGTGTACGCACAGAGGGTGACGAGCAAGATATTTGGGGGATCATACAGGGGTCAGGGTGGAGGGAGAGGGGATCTCGGCTGGGAAGAGGAGACCTGGCCCAGCTACACTTTCAGAAGTACCAGTGGCAGGATTGAGACTGAATCCAGCCCTGAAGCTGTAGGGGTGAAGCCCATGCCCAGTTGAAGAAGGCGCTTTAAACCAGTCGGTGACATCCCCTGGGAATTGCCAACTGCACCAAAATTATCTTTGTAAACTACTTTGTTGCAAGAACTTCAGTTCTAAACTGTTACAACCTATCGGGGAAAAAAGGCAACTGTAAAAACCACCCACTGTCCCCGTGAAGATTAGCTAAACTCTGGCATTTCTTCCTGATTTAATCCCCATGCCAAAACGAGGTGGAATCAGGTTCTCCAGAAGAGAACAGGGGAGGGAGATATTCAAAACCATTTGGGAGATATAAATGCTTGGCCGTTGATCTCTTTTTAACTGCTGCCAACTTTTTTGAGCAGATTTCACTGTCCCAATCAATATAGATTTTTCTTCCCTGTCCTGTAACTAAAATGCTTCATATTTTAATTTTCTCTGCCAGATTATTTCCCTTGACATCAAAGAATGTTGCAGTACAAGGTACAGGCATGGCCTAAAGAAAGCTGTTTGCAATCGGAGAATCACTGTCTGAACTGCCAGTGAATTATCCAAAGCTCCATCTTCAAAGGATGTGAGCAAATCTGATATCTTCACGAGAAAGAGGTTTTCTGTCTACATACAAAGATACTTTTTTGCCCGTGGTCTTCAAATCTCTGGTGAAAGGATGCTGTTTTATACCCCTTCATATTAGATAAGTTTCAGTTATTTTGGCATGCAGCTAATTTGTTTTCTTGTATGGCTGTAAACTAGGAGCAGCAGCTCAGCACTTAAAAATGATCCTAATCAGTGATAAAGTTGGTGGCAGTTTTTGGTTTTTTCTTCCTGGTGATTTGTGGATCTGAAAAGAGAGCTGCTGCAAGTCCAAGAAGAAATGCTTCTCCCAGGTCTCTGCCTCTGCAGTAATGGAATTAAATTAAAGCAGAGCTTGTGAAACTGAATATAATTTTGTGTTTGCTAACATGCAGGTCTGTTTTTACTTATAGATGGCCAAGAAGTATACACAGGGATGGGTTCTGAATGCGGGCACAGTGCCATGAACTCCTAGTGACATTACTGGCGTGTGCATCTGCTCTGCACCACTCTGGACTATACCCCAACTTCACAATATTTTCCAAACAGCCTATGCTTTTACAAACACCAAGCAAGCCCAGAGTGGTCTTGAGCTGGAGAACTGAAGACCATTCTCATCGTGCACTGCATCTTTCCTGCACTGTCATTCTTGCAGGCGAAACATTACCTTAGGTGGGCTGCCAAGTGAAACAGAAAAGCCTCCACATGCTTTGGTCTCTGCCAGTGGTCTCCTTCAGCTTCCATTTGTGTAAACAAGGCTCAAAACATCTCCCATTTTCATCTGTATCAGCTGCTCCTCTTTGAGGGTAGTGCAGCCTACACTGTTCCATACCAACTAGCCCCTGCTGAATCCAGGGGCATTCCTCACTGCCACCAATGGAAGCTGAATCTTTTGACCAAACTGGGCCAATAAGGTATTTTTCCTTAAGGTGCATAATTTTTAAAAACTTATTTATCGATAGATAGATATATTGATATAATATAATAATCTCTATATTATATAATTATTAAGGCAATTTTTCTCCTCTGCCTCTTCACCTCTGGGCTCCTTCCTCACTTCCAGTCCCGGCCTGGAAAGCTGCACAGTGCGCACTTTGAAGAGGGAAGGAGAGAATAGCACTGATTCACAAAATGAAGAAGCAAGAGAGTGTTTTGATCATGCTGGAGAGACATGCCAATGCTCCTCCTGCAGTTTGCAGAGAAAGGCCCTATTCTGCACACAGGAGCAGGCAGAGGGTCAGACTCCCCATGGTTGCTGGAGAATCAGACTCCCCATGGCTGCTGGATAATCAGACTCATGAAGCTGATTAAATATCCCCACCCTAAACATGCAGGAGCCTATACATTAGGCACTTGATATGGAAGGAGGCCAATACAAACATTTCAAGACGCTGCCATTTCTGAGGTTTTGTTCACTTGATAAATAAACTCTTCTGTCCTCAATACCGAGGTTTAAAACAAAGGCCTGGCTGAATTTCAGGGCTTTGGTGGCTTGAACAGAGAAGAGATCTAGAATTGCATTCCCTTACCTTCCTAAACAGAACAATCTATCTAGGTCAAAACGGAGGTTATTGGCATCTTTCCTTAGTGAAGTGCAATAATTCCCGCAGGGTTGCTAACAGAATATCCTGTTTATTTTTCATAGAGCCTTCAAAAGCCATGGGCTATGTTCTGTAGATTCAGTCATTAGGGCATATCTCTGCTTTCCTAATTCTGTACACACAGAGCTAACTACAGATAGAAGTATATGCAGGGTTTGTTGTCGTTTTGTCTGCAGAGCTACTGAAAATGCATACATGAAACTTAAGGGAAATATTTACATTCCATTCCACTTTAAATGTGTACGTGTATTGCTGTAGTTGAATGGGAAAAAGAAAGATGCCGGTCTCTGGCCAATAATTATGAATGGCCTAATTCACCATTTTACAGCAGCATAGCAACAAATCTCTTCCAATAGGAAAACACTGTTGAGTTTGAAAGTCTGCATGCAGACACCTCTTAAGAATTGTACCCAATTTCCACACCGTGTAAATTACATCTAAAATGTGCATTGCCAGGGCTGCTTATTAAGCAGAATTAAGCCCATATCCATGTTTTATTAACTTTATTCTTTACAAGGTAGCCCCCGTGTTGCATGTCTAGCATAATTAAAATTCATGCAGCTTTGGCATTCCCCAGTCTTTCTGCGTGGGCGGACTTTAAAAAAAAAATAAATAAGTACATGCCTGGGTAACCTGATAAAGAAAAGAAAAGACCTTACAGTATTTTTCTCATTTTATGCTCAGGGTAATTCTGTTTACAATGCATGGTTTCATATCTATGTTTGGATGCCTAATAAGAATTCACATGGCCACTTAAAAATATGCTGTTCGGGGAGAGAGATCTGGCCCTAAAACAGCAACGAAGAATGAAAACTGGCTGGCTTTCTGGGCTTTTCTCGCACAGCTGAGCACTGAGCTGACTAGGCCTTTTAATAAACACAGAAGAGCCTGCATCATCTGATTGCTATATTAAAATAATTTATTTAATAGGCCCCTCACCCCTTTTTTTGGCTTCAAAGATTCAATTAAAACAAAATTTGCAACTAATCATGAGGAGTATTCATTAGCCTTCCCAGTGTCTTTAAAAACCGCTCTAGCCCGAGGAAAAGTTGGGCTTCT